CTCCGTCCCGTGCAGGTAGGCTGTGAGGGGGTGTTGACACAAGTTGCCCTCAGCTTCAGGGAAAGCTTCCAGCCCTTCCTGGGGGGCCAGCTTCTGTGAGCACCCCATGTGAGAGCAAGGGCTGTTTTTCTTAAAGCTTGGCTGCTCTCCAAGGCGATCCTGATGAAGCTGGACAGGGAACCACCATGGTGCTACTGGGACACAGCTGCCCTCTTCCTCTCCCGCAGGCGTGCATGAACCAGCAGGTCACAGGGACGCTCATTACAGGACAAACGCTCCGACTGCAGAGTAACCTGGGAGCCATTTCCCAACTACTGTGAAAGGGCAGGCGTGAGGAAAGGGCAAAGCTATCCAGCAGGTTTCCCGACACGCTACCCCAGCTCTTAAAATTCACCGACCTGAGCAGTGATTACTATATGCTTACCACTACGGGATATATGCATATATCTAAGAGCTGATCAGCTCCAAACTGAGCTGAGATGTGGACTGGCAACAAAGGATAACAAAAAAGGACTCGCTTTAGTCCTAAAAGAAAGGGCTGGGGCTCAGCTGTAGGAAACTGCTAGGTCTTCATTGAAGTCAAGGCTGCTTCTTCTTTCAAAGGAGAGTGAAAGTAGGTTTAAGTTCAGCTGTAAAAGCAGTAGTAATTAAAAATAATAGTGATCTCAGGGCTACTTCTGTGGATGAGTTAAAACCCTCGGCTGTTATTTTCTCCTTTTCATTTCTTTTAGGATAACTGAAAAGTCTTCAATCCATGCAGAAGCCGAAATATATTCTTTTATTAAGGAGGCCCAATTTGTTTCTTTCCACTGTGTCACAGGATGACATTGCTCACCATGACAAATACCCAGGGTGTTTTTCTGTTTCACAAAAGAATTATCTTTTTAAGATGGACTTATTTTAGAGAGAGGGCTTTCTGATTTCTTGGTATTGTAATATATCAAAATATACAAGACAAAAATAGCAAGTTAGAACGTGTCGCCCTGATGCAGCAAAGCCTGTGGACGCTGACAGAGCACAGAGATAGAAGGTACTTTGCACTGGTTAACACTGGGTGAACGTCTTTGTAGGCAAAACCTTGGTTATCAGAAGCTTTTTATGGCAGGAGCTGAGGCCCAGGGCTAACAAGACAGTCACGACACAGCTTGAGAAGCAGAAACTTTTCTGGTAGTTTGCAATGCGGTGGAAGAAGAAAAATCCACTTGTAGTGACACAACTCTAGAAGCCAATTCTTTATTAAAAGATCTTTTAAGCATTCCAGTACAGACTTATCTGCTCCACTGTAGCTTTGAGTTGATGAAGACGAACAAATGTTTTAAAAAAAAAAAAAAAAAAAAAAAAAAGGCAAAATGGACACCTCTATAAAATTAAGCAGTAGATGAACTATGGACACTGATTACACCAAACATAAACATCAAACCACAGGAATTATACACAGTCCTAAGGCAAACTATGTAACAAATGTACGCAATTGCACTTAAGTCTGTAGAAAGTTACTACACACAGCGCTGCCCAAGCACTCAATATCCTGGGTCAAGAGGACACCCCGCTGGATATCCCTGCATTGAGAACAGCAGCTTCGGAACCAAGGAATACCCGGAGTGTTGCTATACCATACATTCGGCTTGTTGGGTGAGTGACCAATAGACCTAGCAGTGCCCAACTGAATTTATTTAAGAAAAATTAATACTAAACCAATTTCACTGGTATCTGTTGTTTTGTGCTTCTCCATTAGCTATAAACGCTAATGCCTTTGACCACAGCACATCCACCTGCTGAGACAGAAAAGGTGATTTGATACCCTGATCCTGTGGAAGTCAGCGGAAATCCTGCAAGGAGTCGAAGCTCCTCACAACTTTTATTTCCCCCAAGTATGTAAAAAGCAGTAATATTGCTGATCTCTCTCTCCACAACCCTGTTCTCAGCCACAAACTGTGCTCCATGATTATTCTCCAACCCCGAGCTTTCCAACCAAAAGGGACTGATTGTACTGAGGACCCTGTGTTAAACGAACTGTTGGATCTCATCCCCACTTCAGTCTCTTGCACTATGTTCACCTTCCAGAGAGACCAGCTCTCCTAAATCAAGGCTGCAAATGACATTTTAGCGAGTTCCCTCTACAAGGCGTGAAACCCCCCTTTCCAGGTGGCGGAGAGACCGAGCTGGAGCTCCAGTTGCAACCTCAACACCTCTCCTAGTAAATCCTCCAGCAACACGAGGCCTTTTGTGCCTTCCATATCCTCACAATAAAAACAAGTATCTAGCTGGACAGCATTTTTCACCTTTCTGCACCCACAGTCCACCCTCCTGCGGCGCCTGTACAGTGAGATATACCTCTGCTCCAAGGGGAGTGTTCAGGCAAGAAAATACTCTTACCAGATTCAATGGAGTTTAGAATCCATCCCTAAAAGGCAGGAAAAAAGCAAACACTTGTTACAGTTTGCTCAGTAGGTCACCCTTAATGTTCAGTTCACTCTGTAATAAACAAAAAATACCATTCTTTTCGTTGAAACAACAGATGCACGGGAAAGATAGGGAGCTAGAGAGCAAACTGAGATTCTGTTTCATTTCATTCAAAGTGTAAAACACCTCTACTGATGTTTCAATAATAAACCTCTCTGACAGGCAACTGCTGCTGTTAGGACAATTTGCTCTCTGTCCTCAAGTTGAAAGGAGCTCTCTGCTAGGCAAGGGAATTTTGGCGGTCCCTGGGGTGTAAAGCTGGTTGCTTGCAGAGCTGCTATAGGCAGCAGGAGGCTTATTGACTAGATGATAGAAAAAACCTAGAAGTACAGCTTCATCATAGTAGAGCAGTACCTAGCTCCGGTGGAGAACCCTATGTCAAGAGGTTTGCTGGCCGGACATTACTGTGGCACTGCTAATTTGATCCCCTGCTACCACTATGACAAACCACTTCCATTTTCCCCAACATGGATTTACTCCACTGACTTCATAGTCCGTGCACTCCAAATTCAGTGCCATACACCTATGTCCCACTCAACACGTGAATGTGTTGGTAAAGCTCACTCTGCCAACACGGTACCGGTGTCAAAACAGCCCCAAAACGGAAATGCAAGGGCAGGGACTTGTTCGAATGACTCTTCAGTGAGAAGTGTCAAATGATGAAATATCCATCACCCAGGAAATTGCAGGCTTTTCCCCGACTTGGAGAAAAACAAGGTTTGGTGCAGTTGCCACTAAATCTTAGGGCACTTCACTGTTATCTTGGTAGGAAAAAGCGGTATTGTGGTTCAGGAGGTAGAGACCAACAGTTCTGGTAATGGAGTGTTTCTACAAAATGCGATGCTTTTCAATCTGGAGCCGAGACTTGCCGTGTGCAGCATGAAGGAATCCACACAAACCAGTGTGAAGGTACCTCTGTTCTTAATGGAAGGAGGAACAGGCAGACTACTGGGCCACGTGGCAAAGCATTTCATCTGCAACAGTAGCTCATTTACTTCAGAATGAGATGCAAAAAGCTAGAGTAAACAGGCAGGGAATAACCTGTGCGTTAAGAAATGCATCTCTCTAATCTCCTGTCAGTTACTGATTTGCTTTTCCTTAGAGCAAAATGGCTCGTATCTTAGTTTTAGGTATGTGCTAATTTATGTGTGAAATTTATTGGTAGCTATACAAAGTACCTGTTAAATATGGGTAAGTTTTCAATTTCAATACAATTAAGTGGTTCCACAGGTAAACCGTACTGCATGCTAAATTCTTTCTCCCATCCATTTTCAGGCACTGATTTCCATGTCAGGAGACATCCTTTCACCACAGTATGCAATTCTGAAGTTAGCCCCGCTTTGAGCAGGAGGCTAGGCTAGATGACACCCAGAAGTCCTTTCCAATCTAAGGTTTTCTGTCATTGTATAAAGGCAGTAATAGCAACCGCCAATACATCTTTATCTAATCATCTGCTATTTTGCAAAGCTTTGTCTTATCCCTTCCTTTATAAAATTTAAAAGAAGTTATGGATGGATCCTTCCTCTGAGAGGATAACCACTCTGTTAGAAGAAATAAAAGCCCCCAACCACTTTTATTCTCTATGAAATTAGGCAACCAGATAGGGATAAAACAAAAAATGCCCCAAAACCTCCAATGAGAAGAAAAACTGCCATTTCATGTTACATCTGGGTCAATGTTTAGAAGCTACTCTAACTGCCAGGTCATTCCTCAGAGCACCTGCTCTTCATTTGCAGTGTTTTTCATTAGCAGCCTGCATTTAATACCATGTCTTCAGCTTGGCAAGTATCCAGCACTGCTCAAAAAAAAAAAAAAATCAATGTGTACTTGTCACGAACACCCCCAGCACCCTTAATATCTTTTGCCTGGATAGATGGCTAGCCGGCCGAACAGAAATGAGCAGCATTTGGAACAGGACAGCGTCGATGGAGCTTGTCCAAATCCCTGCAAGCACGCTCAAGCCTGTCTGACACTTGACACCAAAGCCACCCCCACAGCAACTCCCTCTCCAGAACTTGGCTCTAGCCCTTCACTGTGCCCAGAGCAAGACTGCTGCGTGCTGTGGTTAACCCTTTGCTAGGAACTATCGGACTTGCTGTTTTAGCAGGTTACTTCTTTGGCAAGAGAAAGGCTGTCAGCTGTTCATGCTGCAGCGCAAACCCGTCACAACTACGTTCCTGAAGCAGCTCTCTGAACCTCTGTGGGTGTGACCTCTCCTTAAGTGCTCAGCAGAGGCTGCGTTTTGCCATTTTTGCCACAAATGGGTCGTGGGAATCTTCAAACTTGCCGCAGACTGAGAACCTGCTCTCGCTGGTAACAACTAGAAGTGCCCCTCTGCCTCAGGTAAGCAAGGCTGAGCCCAGGACCACGACCAGCAAACATTCTGATCTCGGGTGAAGACTGAACCCCAACCCTGGGGAAAATCTGGGGAGAGAGAAGGGATTATTATTGTAAACCAGTGATGCGCTCATTACGGAGGCCTGGGCAACAAAATCCAATACAACAGAGATTTACATATACCGACTCACAAGCTCTTTGTACTTACGAACTGAACATACATGTTACATACACCATGTAACACACCAAGTGATCGGACAAAACCAGCGTACTCTCTAAACACCTAGTATTTAATGCTGTCAGTACAACACTGTGCTCTGCTGGGTGCTGCTAGGCCTTCGACCAGAGGCAAGGAAAAACATGTGGAATGACTGCCAAAGGTGTAACCCTGGGCTAAAAGGAAAGGGCTAAAATTAATGAAGATGTGTACTTCACACTGGAAAATGAGTATCAGGCCAGGCATCTCAGAAATATTTTTCCTTATTGCAAGGTGATTTAGCATCAGGCAACTTCTCTTTCACTCTTTTTTTGTTTTATTTTCACAATTGTGCTGTTGGAAACATCCATAGAATGAAAAACATTGCGGCAAGTCTGAGAAGAGCCCAGTTCTTCTCTGCCCATATTTCATTGCAACAGGGTGACTCGGAGGCCACAGGAGCTGCACACCTGATGTGGAGTGGAGGAAGAAGGAGGTCTGAATGAGGCATGCTGGGACAAATCTTCACCTGCTGCCAACACATCACCTGCAGTCCATGTCACAGCAGCGATATGAGCTGGCTCAGAGCTCCGGCCCCCCATGCCTCACTGCACACAGACTCCCTCTGGAAAGCTAAGTGGAAATGCTTCCTTGAAGTATAAAACTACCTTCTGGTGTCTGAATATCTGACACCTACTAGAAACAATACCCAGAACTTATAAAAATTACCTTACGTTATTATAATGCTCTCTCCTTTCTCTAGCTTGCTTGCTTTGGGCATTTTACAGCTCCCTGTATACCATGAAGAGACACAGGAGATCATGACTAACTGAAAGAAACCTTCAGCGGAGGGCAGGAAAATCCTCATATATTTATGAAGAAATAAACTCTCCTGTCTTACACATCCAAAGAATCTTGATTAGTAAACTCTTTGAAATTAGCTGGTTTTCTTTTTAAAAAAAAATTTTTCAAATTTGATGAGAGTCTCTGGATATCAGAAATGTGCAGCTTTTTCCCTCCTCTGTGCTCCTGTCAAGCACTGGCACGCCAAAGAGAAGATGGTGCAAGGGGCTGCTACGTGGTCCACAGAGACTGTACAGGCTTTGGAGCCAATGGAGAAACGTTTCCATCTGTCCAACGGCACGCGGCTCCAGCCTGCTCCGTCTCCTTGGAGCTAGAGGATCACGGATGATGGCGGCGAGAGCATAAAGCCCTGCAAAGCAGCACTGTCTCAGGAAGTTGTTCAGATACACCAAATGCCACTGGCATCAGAACCTAAACGCTTCTGAAACTTCTCCCTTATTTTTCACCTGCTTCTCCTGAAGCACAGGGGAGTTTTTAGTGGCTGCACAGCGGAGGAAGACAACAAACACGCTTTTTGTCTACCTAAAACCACTGTGCGTTTGTTCCCCCATACATTAACATACAAAGAAGCCAGCATGTGGCTCAGAGACTCAGACTTACACAGCTGCCAGGTAACTAAGGGTTCTGGGTAATACAAGCAGGTATGAAACAATTGTGCAACACCCCCAGCCTTAGGTGAAAGCCCAGAGCCTCGTCTACATGAACAAAGTGATGTGCAGAGCTGCTGGGACTACAAACCCAAAGAAATAGCTGCCTCAATGCTGACTGGAATAAATAAACGCAGCAAAATGCGATCAGCCATAAGCAACAACAGGGCATTAGGCACCGAGGGAGCAGTGGCATCTTCTATAACACTGGCAACAGAAGAGATGGACAAGACACTGAGTCAACCTATGAACAGATGGATGTGTTCTCCTGTAGCACGCTGTGTCCAGATTATGGCAGGAAAAGATAGCTGTGGCAGGTCTTCATGCCCACCTCCCGCTGGAAGCAAAACTGCGGCTGAAGGAGAAGTTGATCTCACCGTTTTTGTACTTTCCCCATGCTCCAAATGGCACTATGACAACTGTGCTGTTGTCTTCAGTGCCGAATTGCATTGCCTGAGAGAAGAAACAAGTAGTCAGCATCATCATCTTGCTTGGAAAAGGGAACGAGTGTCTGGCTCCACATGGGACAGCATGCCCTGAGGCCTAAGACTTCCTTGCCCCTTCCCAGCCCTGATGCTGCATTCTGGTACGCCCCAAGCTTTCCATAGGATATGCCACCACCCAGAACCCCGGTGAGAAACTGGCCATTTCTGTCTATGCTGATGACGTATTCAGCGCAGGAATAAACTGCAGTTACGGTCCCACACAGTTCAGTGGATCGTGAGCTAAGCAAGTTCATTGAAATGATGCCTGGCAAGGATGTGGCAAGACCCAGGGTAAGCAAAATGCTAGCCGGTGGGACTAGTGAATGTCTCAACCAGCACAGTTCAATTCACTTGAATGTGTGGTTGTATATTTGTTCTTGTTTTTAGAACCAAACCAAACCAAACACAACAACAAGCATTTTGTGCCAAGAGAAGCCCTGGCATTACCTGCTCAGTAACAACGTGGGCAGCTTCGGCAGGATCATGGCACTGGTTAATGAAGTCGCAGATCTCCTGACTGTTCACCATGAAGTTAATACCGTCTGTAGTAAGGACCAGGAAGCTGTCGTCTGCATGATGCAACTGCAATAAAGGCACACAGTATGCACAACGATGGAGTAAGTGCTGCAAGGCAAATCAACTGCCTTCATTTTTTTTTACACTCTGTTGCAAAGCACTTTTTCTGGGGGTGCTGCGTGCTCTCCTGCTTTCTGTGCGAGATCTAACTGGAACCCCCAAACCCTCGGCTAGCCAAAGGCTGCCCCTTGAATTCTCGAGCATATCCATTAGCCATAAAGACTGTGTTCCCTGTACTAGAGGAGAGCGTCTTAAGGTGCTTCCAGTTCTAGGAAGCAGCCCTCTGAATACACTGAGACCAAAAGACCAGATCCAGATGTTACCCAGTAAACAAAATGCTTCCTTAAACTGAGGATTTCAAGGAAGACATGATAGCACTGCGGTCATCTCCCTAAACCCCTCAGGCCTAGTGGGTGGCATTTAATTAAGACCAACTGAATATAAATTCCCCAGGCCCTGGGAGGTGCACTGGGGCAAAGTAACAAACAGAATATGAGCTGAGAGGAGAGCCTTCCTGCAAAAGTGAAGGCAACTGTGCTGAATACCTTCTGGGTGGTTAATTTGTTTTCTGGACAACTACAGAGCTATGGTAAGATGCATGCAACTGCCCTTTTCTCCTCTCTTCCTCCCAAGTGTGCAAACCTCTATGTATTCTACTTTTTTCGATGACAGCCCATCCGTATCCCATCTATTTCTCAGTGATGGTTTTATATCAGCATTAATCTCAAAATTATCCACTTGACCACAAGCCCCAAACAGACTAACACCTTTGTATTTCAGTAATGGATATCACGTGTTATCTTTCTTCCCTCATCCTATTTTGTACTGTGATAAATGGGATTTAGAAGTTGATCTGGTTGAATTTAGTATCAGGGCCAGATTCTTTTCTGTCCTGCTAGTGTTACTCTGAAATGACTTAATTAGAATTGGTCGCTGGTTACTTCACCACAAATAAAAAACAATGCTTGGCCATCAGGCTTCACCTGGGCACATGTCGTGTGGGTACCGCCACCTGCATGAAATACCTATGATGCCCCTTAGTCCGAATGTTGCTGTCCCTGTTAACCAGGCCTTCTTTTACCTGAACCCTTTTTGTTTCTGGCTGGGCTATCACACCACTGTTTTTAAGATCCAAATCTCCTATGCTCCGCGTCATTGCAAGTCTACCATTCACATGAGGTTGTCCCAGACTGTTCCAGGCAACGAAGCCACCGCACTTCCTAATCCTGTCCAGAGGCACAAAAGAAAAAGCGAATATGAGTTACTGCTTCACACTATTACTCCTGTCTCTATCTGCAATTTCTGTCACTAGCTACTGATACAGAATGGGGTACGGAGGACCTAAGCTGGGAGACTGAGGGTTGGCTTTTGCTGTTTGAAGGGCTTCACGGAAGGGATGTGGCTTGGCGGGCTGAGTCCTGACCTGGGAACCATAGTGCATTTCTTCAGGTCTTGGCTCTAACTTGGCAGTCTTGGACAAGTCTGAACCCTGTCACGGCTCTGTACCGAGTCCTAGCTGTGCTGATCTTACTGCCGAGACAGTTTACGCTCATGCAGGGCTTTCCACATCCCCAGTCCTCTAAACGGAACCAAATGAATTAACTGGAGCTGTGCCGCTTTCTGCCAGCTCAGAGGTGATCTCGGGGCGTTGTGTTCAACTCTGCTTTCTTCCAGGCCCAACCCAGCAGCAGAACACAAGCACGTCCTGACCAAGGCCGTTCCCTGGGAAGACACATCATCAGCTGACAGGTACCTTTCCTTCTCCTCCTTTCTTTCTGGAGTATGGTCAATGGTGAGTTTCATGGCCTTTCCCTTTCGACACAGCAGAGCACGACTGTCTCCCACACTTGCCACAACCAGCTCAATACCGTCCCGGAGCAGAGCCACTGTTGCAGTGGTCCCAGAGTTCATCAGAGTTGCTATAAACGTCATATCAAAGAGAGAGTTTTTAGCACTGCCTCAAAGCATGGGACCATTTATAACAGCAAGAGTTTTAACTGGTAAAATGAAGACAACTTGTGCTCTACATTACCAGTAAGTAACTGCTTTTAAGTTTAAACTAAATCTACATATTAAAAAAAAAAATACAGCACACATGCATGCATGTAGGACATAGAGAGAGATAGAGAAGAAGTGGAAAGGATAAGTATTTCTGTGCAACAACATGGCTCCATGCAAAGAGGGCAAGTGGAATAAAAGCGGTACAAGGTACAGTGGCTTCCTTTCAGCCTGTACCAAACAATTTTTCTGTCCCACCAGCTCACCTCAAGTTACAGCGTTATCGTCCCTATCCCTGGGCACAGTGACTGCACGGGTAGCCCACCATAAAGCTGATGGCTCTTCCCTTCTGTTAGGTGGTGAAGTGGGCAATTGAGTAATAGTAAATGTAGCTCCATGTAGTTCACCGGAAGAGAAACACTAGGTTGCTCCTTCACCCCAGTCTGTGGGGTCCTGCCGTTGCTGTCAGAGTTGTTACAATCTCCCTCTGCTTCCCCCCGCCTTGCCAAGAGACAAAGGGTTCAGCCAGCAGGCCAGTGGCTTTTTTCAGAAAGGGACGCCGCTCCCTTCAGATCCTGTCAACTTGCTGGAGGTCCCAGTACAAAGGTGAAGCTGGATTCTGCCTTGCCTTGTGCCTGCGAACCGATGCAGTCAGCTGGTGGTGGCTCTCCCGGCAATCTGCCCTGGGCACTGGTGGGATCACTTGATAGGGGTGTACAGTGACTGCCTAGAGGGCAAAACAGAGCCCTCACAGTAAGGGAGCGAGCTGAGCTGACTGACTTGTGTTCAGGGACCTGGTTGGATTAACTGGTGCAAGTAAATTTAAGGGCTTCTCATTTCAATTTCTACAACGCTCTGGAAAAAAAGAAGTGCTTGAAAAGGAGAAATGCGAGTCTGCCTATTTCAGAAAAGATCTGCAGTCCTAGCCGCAGTGAAGGAAATGCCAGAAGAACTGTCCAGCTTTCCTTTTTTGTTTCCTTTTTGAAAGGAGCAGTCCCATTTTACAGTTAGTATCTTCCCCTCCTGCAAATTATGCAAAGGTAACCCAGTGAGAGGTGCCTGGAAAGCAGTAACTCCTGCCAACTTGAGCTATTACAGTAAAACGTCTGGCCAGGACAAGCTATTGCCTGGAACACATTTGCATTCCCAGCCAATGCAAATCCCCTTGAAAGGCCCTCTGTAGGTCTCCTGCATTCTGGGATTTTCCAGTTTTCCCAGGTTTTAAAGGCAAGCCAATTAGAGAGGTGTTTTGGGCTAACTTAGGAATGAGAATCCCCAGTTATATTCCTGTTTTCACATGACTAACAGTTGAAGATCTTTCCACCATCACTTCTGCAAAGCTCAGCTACAACTACACGCACTCCTTCCTCTGGCCCTGCAGCCCTGACCCCGGGGAGGCGGGATGGATCTGAGGCAGGACTGTGCGTTTGAGCCCGAGGAAGGCCAGCCAGCCCCATCTCTGACCAGCTGCCAGCAAACGGCATACACGTGGCACGACCCCCTGCGTACTATGGAAACAAAAATGCGAGTGCTCTGGGATCTTGGTGACCTCTTTCCCCAACCCTGAGAGGCCTCGGCACCCCGTAAGTAAAACAGGGTTGGGAGTAAATTGAAGTGCACAAAGCCCTGAAAGATGCATTGAGCCTTGTTGTGCAGCAAAAGCAGTGAGTTGATGAATCAAAAAAAAAAACCTCACAGAACAGTCTAAACAAAGCTTGTGTTATTATTTAAAACAGGTATTATTACTGCAGTGAGGACTTGGTTTAGCTATACACTTAACCAACACGTCAATCGTGAACATCAGCTGGGGTGACCTAGGTCAAATCTTGGACTACGTTATGGCTGCCATGCAGGCTACGATATTCAAAACTATTTAGATGCCGGTAGCTTCAGACTATTCAGGTAAGCACTGACATCCTGTTTCTGATTTGAAGCACGGACTAGTCCAGTGCAGGCTCACTTTGAGGTACATTATAAAAGCAAGATGCTAACAAGTACCAGTGTGATTAGAAATTTTAGTAGAACCAGTAAAATACCTGTTTTAGCCAACAATTAAAAGAAGTGAAATGAAGAACCTACGTAAAACTACCTTTTTATTTCACAGAAAATACATTTTATTTAGACATTAAAATTAATGCAGAACTGCCGCTACTCTCCCATTTCATTCCTTGGTTTTGGAACTATGCTGACAAACATAAGCAGTTTCTGAAAAAGTTAAGATCCGTAGTCTTTAGTTCATAAATGACTGGAAACATTTGGACATTCAGGTGAATCTGCATCTTTCAAGTGCGAACTCTCAAAGAAAAGAGCCGCTATCACAAAATCAAGGGACAGCACTAAAGAACAATTCAAGGTATTGTCCAGAATTGTGGTAATGGTCATAGTGACTTGAGCTGTATGTACATTTATTAATTAAATAGCACTCCTGGAAAAATAAATGCTGCTCACGCTCTCTTCCTTGGAACCAGTTCATGATCTGGGTAGGGGTGCAAGAATGTGGATGTAGCTAGACTACAAGCATTATGTGATTTCTAGCACAGCTCGAAAACACAGGAATGATGATGGGATAACATTTCTAATGCTTTACTACAACTGCTGCTAGGTTATTTAATAATATCAAAATACATTGCATCAGCATATATATTGGTTTTAACAATTAAAGAGTTTATTTTGTTTTCCTAACAATATCACTATAAAACTAAGATCTTTCAATAGGTTCTTAACACTCACTGGACAACTTTTACTGCAAGTCATCTCAACTAATGTGACAAAGAGGATGTGGGAACCTTCCAGTAGTCCAGGCTAGGAACCGCCGGACTCCTTCACCTGGGACAAAATTAAGCAGATCTCTCTTTCCACTGAAGCCCAGCATATAGTGTCCAGGGCCTCCAGTTCTAGAGCTGCTGACCAGGTACAGTGTCTGCCACAAATAACACGCACACAGAGGCAAATAGGAAATTCACCCAGGGACTTTGTTCAAACAAAATAAACCTGCAACACTGGAGATGAAAGAGTAAGGGCTGCAGAACAGGGGAAGTAGTCACTCTCGGGTTTGCCTGCATTGTCTTTTGCAGGTCATACAGGAAGTACTTGAGGCTTACACATGCACCTTTGGCCACAGATAAATCAGCCTTGGTATTTCTGGGGAATTGCCACCATTCCTGCCTTCTCACTAAAACTGTGTGACAAAACCAGTTTAAATTCAGCCAAAATAAAAGCTACAATATTTTTGGAGGTAAGTAACAAACCAACAAATCAACCAAAGAATTTTATCAATGCTAGAGGGCCAGCTGTCTCATATATGGAAAGAGCGGCCACCCTGAAGAACATCTTCAGTACAGAATATGGCCCAATCTGTTTCCTCAAGGTAATTTATTTATTTTTTTATATATATATATATATTTATATATAACACAAAAATGGGGAGTTCAAACCAGTGCCAACTAAAATGGGGCCATCTTAAAGGCACTGAATTGAAGTATATGAATCATTCTGACCCACGAGAAAATACGCAAAATAAACACCTGTTAATATCGTAATTAGTATCTTCTAACTTGATTAGGTAATAATCAGGGCCCTTGGATAAAAAGGCTGCCTTTGTAACGTTGATGGATTTATGAAATATTTAAGTACAATTTCTGCAGCTCTCCCTTTTCCTCAGTGTTGCAGGTTAACATATTCAAAGAAATAAAAATCATATGTTTGAATGGTAACATAAAAAACCAAAACCAAAACCCACTACTTTTTAAATTTAGTTATTTTTAGATATCTTTTGCTGTTTGCTCAGCATAGTAAGATGCCAGGAGTGCCTTTCAAACATAGATACACCAGTTAATACCTGGCTATGTTTTAATAAGATGGCTATTCCAGAAGTGAGTGGCCAATGCGATTAGAGTTGGATGTAGTGAACATGGAGGTCGATGGAAAGACTCCCTGTTGTTTTCTCTGAGTAGTGGATCGCAGTGAACAGAAGCAGTACCTTGTAGGACCACACTAGGCCAGGAGAGGGTTTGTCTTGCGTTTCTCCAGAGAGATACTCAAATTTCCTCAAGCACATGATTCACTTCCCTATTTCTGTCCTTGCTGAGCAAAGCTATTCAGCCTTTACATTTCAGTTTTTATGGCTGGTCAAAAATATCAGAAAATTCTGTCCGTCTCCATTAACAGTTGTCCCGTGGATAACGACATATTTGTTGGACGTGAGCTTCCTTTACTGTGTCCTGTACCTAAGTTTAGCAGCAATTTAAAAGTGACTGGATATATTTAAATGCGTGGAAGTGAATGAAAATGCATTTTTTAAGAGATATGAAACACCATGCTTCAGGGCTCAGGCATATCTCTAAGCTGTTAATGATTAGAAAGGATTTAGGTGGAGGACAGATTACCCCAGATCTGCCTACAGCAAGTTTCTTACGCTTTTGTGTGAAACAACAGGTACAGATTACTGTCAGAGGGGATACTGGACCAGTCTCCAGCGGGCCAGTACAGCACTCCAACAGCACTAGTGAACTGCACGCCAGACACAGCAGCAGTACCTGGAACACATACATGTACCTTTTTTTTAAATTGAAAGCTCACAGAAACTATTATGCTATATATTTTCCATCTATAATTTCAAATATTCTGTAATTGTAAAGTGACCTACAAAGGGCCGTACCCTTGAAGACGTAGCTAGGTGCTCCAACAAGGCACATCTCTAGTCCTGTTAAATTTGTGCCATTGTATGAGTTTTTCACCCTTTAAATAGTACTATAAACAATGTGTCAAACAATATCCATGCTATTTTGGCTACAGGGATTTGTCCCAGGACTTATGTTCCTTCAAACACCCAGGCAGACACTTTCAAAGCTGGTCGTGTGTAGTAAAGACCTGGACATCCTGAACATGCACTGTTTTTTTTTGCAGATACAGCGAAAGGAGTGAACCCTGGCAGGGTCATCTACTGGAACAAGACTAAGCTACTACTTTCTACTTCATCAGCTATGGCCAGGTTTCAAAAGGAGTCTTGGGAAGCATCCAGCGTATCCCAGATACCCAGTGTTACACAACCAGCCACCATTTTCAAGATACTTTAGCAACGGTATTGACTGTCACATCTAGAATAGCCACAATTAATCAGAAATTTTGCTGGCAAACTGAATCAGTTTGGAAGTAGGCTTCTAACAAGGATACATGCCAAGCATTGAAATTTTATGTAACTTTCAAAACAGCAGCAACAACAAAAATATCCACACCAAGCAGTCAACATAGTATTGAATTATTTTAACAACAGATATGCAAAAAGTTTAATTTGTTCAGAAATCCGCACTTGTCTTTCCACCCTGTTACTCCACTCTGCCTTATAGCTTGATTTTCAGCTGGGCAACCAGTCAAGAGCACAGGGCACTTTTAGATCCCACTGGCTCCTGCAAGAGCTTGCAGGTGCTCAGCCTACCTGAGAAACACTGTGTGCTTGCCAGAGTGTGGCCCCTGGGGATGTTTGACAGCACTTTTGCCCTCTATTTTGCTTGACCTCGAGCTTTTCTAATGAAGAGGGTTTGTCCAGTATCTTGGTAACTGTTAAGTAAATTTGCTGGCATTTGCATTGTATTTCATTAAGCAGCACCAGGCAGTTAAATGATACCAAAAAAATCCTAAAATCCTATAAGCAGATCCAAAATGCTCAGCTTGCTGCACAACTTGTCTGTCAAATATTGTTGTTATCCAGTTCCATAAGTCTCATTTACAAAAGGCTATAATCAGAAACCGTTTTTGGAATAACAGAATAATATACCAAGTACAGTTCCCAATCCTTCTCCTCAAGGAGCTGCTCTGACGCTTAACAGAGGTCACGTCAATGAGCCAAACCAAGAGCTGTCCTACTAACAAAGGGGTGGGGAAGGGGACAAATACAACAGATCTTCATGTTAGTGAAAACGAAAGGTCCTGATCCAGGGAAGCACATAATCCTGTATTCAGACGCTTTCTTGAATTTGGGCTTTTAAGAAAATGTATTTGCAAGGAGGCTCTTGGATAAAAATCACATCTGCTCTACTGATGTCTCTCTCATGAGCTCAGTTAAAACTCACCCCGTAGATCAAAAATGACTCTGGACTTTTTTACCACATCATTATTTTTTAAAGGATTTCAATAGAAAAAAATAAAATGGGATGTAATGGGGAAATGAGCTTTATAGATTTAATCCCCCCTTTTTAAGGGCTGCATTTCAGGACTTAAGACTTTTTTCCTGATACCCCTCATACCTTAGCTTGTACCAGGTAAGAGGAAAGGTGCGTATCCCTCACAGTGCTGCAATAGTCAGGCTACCTGTCCTGCCAGGAAATTTTTGAGTCTACCTAGATTCATCCAGCAGTTAAAGTGCAGGAAGCCACTCCATTACTCGATTGTATTCATTGATGCTTAAGAAAAGTAGCTTGAGAATACAGTATCACTTCACTCCCTAGAGGGCTTGTTGGTTTCAAGCCTTTCTTGGAGAGAAAACTTTTACAGTTTCTGTTCTCTGAAGCGACCTCAGTCATTTTGCCAGCACCTGCACCAGCACTGGGACAGGTTTTTTCTTGGTTTTCTTTTGTTGTGGTGGGTTTTTTTTTCTAATTGGGTTTGTTTTGTTTTGTTTTGTTTTTAAGACTGGCTAAACTGACTCTTAAAATTGTATCTCATGGCTGAGGAAACTCCTATGACAGAACTGGGACGGGGACCTCTATCTCCCTTCCCAAGTTACTCTCTATAAGCTTTAGATGTACTTAGTCTCTAGACACATATACAAGAACTTGATTAACAGCCAGGACTAAGGAGTCTAAAAGGGCTGGTGCCAGCCTTACCACAGCCAACCTTGTTTTCCTCTTCACTGCTTTTTTCCCTTTCACACTCAGCTACTCCTGTGATTCTGTTTGTGCAGAAGCAATACCGATTGTATTAATTTTGGCTTACATTCCTCCTCAGGTCCAGCATCCAAGTTAGAAAGGGGAACTTTTGACACTGTTGCTTTAAACCCACAGGAATAACAGCTTTAAAAAAAAAAAAAAAAAACAACAAAACCCAAAAAACCCAAACACCAAAAACCCCAACAAAAAAAACCAAACCAAAATCCCCCTCCAGGTTTCTCGCACAGTAAAGTTATGCTCCTTGCAAATCTAAATCACTCTTTGCTAACTTGACACACACTTTCCTTGACAGAATCACATTAAGAGAAATTAATTGATGATTATGCTAACATTCAGATTAATAACTCTCCCAGTAAATTTGATTTAGACTTTATACAGCCTTTTCATTTTAAGGAGGTAAAGCATAATTGTTTCATTTGCAGTAAGTGATCAGAGCAAAATCCTGTGTTAAGTAAAACTGTTTTCAAGCATTTTTTCTGGACATTTTACTATAAACTACTGAGCAAATAAGAAAAACCTTATTCTCCACACCCATATAAGTAGAATATTTACCTACCATCAGCAGACAGATGAGCGTGCCTTTCATATGCTTTGTTTATTTCTAGAAAAGCTTTGTTCAAAACATTTTCCAAGTTCTCCTCCTCAGCAAGAAATTCTCTGGAAACAAACAAGTAAACAAAAAATTAAACTTCTTTCCAAGAAATATACGTCTTGATCAATCTCTTCCATAGCCTTATCTCCACCCTGCATGCATTGAATAATGCTGGATTTCAGTGAAAAGGTAATACGATTTTACTAATTATCTGCACTGGAAGCATAATCCGGTAATTCTGCAAATAGATAAAATTCATCTTCCAACACCCAGGGATGTGACACAGAGATACAGAAGAATGTAAGCAAGCCGTAGGTCAGCAATCACAGTGACCCCCCATCTGAAAACAGTCAATTCACACTCTCTCTGTGTTCCCAGTCCTTTCCTGGAAGGTGAGTACAATTGTATTTTCCTTCTCTTATCTTTGTGGGCTTGCTCAGTGGGGCAGGCACCATGCAGAGTAAGTAGTTCATAGCACGTCCATTGTAATGGACTGTTCCAGCCTGGTGTTCCTGCTGTCCCCGCTGGGCTAGGTGGCTATATAGCCTAGGAGGATTAGCGACAATATATGACCCACCGGTTCCCCTTCAGTCCTGAGGAAGGAACCTCTACTGTAATTCATTTGACACGCATTTACTTGATGCACACTTACTTAATATATTTTTCCATGTACTTATCACAGAAGTCTGCTGCCGCTGCCCCGCCATGTCCATCGTATACTGCAAAGTACAGGATATCCTCCGTCAGCTGGGCATAATCAAACCGGTCTTCATTTTCCTTGCGCTTCCCGATATGGCTAGCGCAGCCCACATTGGCCAGGCTGACTTTTGGAATCGGCTTCCCATACTTTATGCTTGGTGGGAGGAGAATAGGTTCATCAATGCGATTGTCCCAGATGCCAAAGGTGTCCCACGTGGTAGGTCGGCCGCTCCCATCTGGATCGAAGCGGGAAGCCCGGCGCTCGGAGGTGGAGCTGTAGCACGCAGCTGTCGGACGCTTCTCGTCTTGCAAGAGGCGGGACGTCAGCACAGCTCTCCTTCGTGCTTGATACCCTCCGGTTCGTACCAAATTAATTAAAGTAGCTGTTAACATAACTTGTCTTCACAAAGATTTGTAGGAATAAAAGATCAGGAATAAAAGATAAGCAGCTGCTGGAATGTCTTCGAGAACAAAGAGAAAACTGATCAGGAAACAAGAAGCACAGGAAGGGGAATTTTCAGTTACATCATTCAGGAAACAAGGTCACCCTCAGAGCCCGCTAATCATGCGTAGCACAGCGCTGCCTCGGAGAAACTACAGAGCAATCTGTATGACTCACTGAGAAACAATCCTACACAGACCAGCCCACATCTAATGGGGAGTACTACAGAGAGGTCAAGGTAAGGCATTTCTGCCGGCCACCTGCAGAACGATACCCTGAATTTTCAAAGGTTGAAGAGGTTGTGATGGAGCAAATGAGAGTGATAACGACTTTGCGCCATGTCAGCTAAAATAGGAATATGTGAAAATATGAGGTAAGGTCGTGAAAATGAGCTTATCATGCATGCTCTTCAAACAATTGCTGAAACATCTGCACTGTGGCTCCCAGGGGGGAAGGCAGGAGAAATATATTTGCTTAGATTTTAAAGAGATTTTTCATTTGCACGATACTCGGTTCTGTCACATTTATTGAGGTCTTGAACAATACTTTTCAACACAGACCTGTAAAGTGAATTGTGATTTTTCTTAGGCTATCTAAGAACGACCACTAAGAGTGAATCCACGGACATACACAACTGCACACACAAACTTCCCCCCCAAAAAAATGTTTAGTCTGGCCTGAAGTTCTCTGCCACCTGACCCTGAAATGGGCTCCCTTGGCTAACACAAGCAAGCAAGATCTTCTGCTGGCATCTCAGATCTCTTTTCTACCCCAAATAAATTAAACACACCACTTGGCTCAGCACAGATAAAAATTCACTAATGATGATTCATCTAGCATGCTGAAAAATGTAGAAAGATTGGCTTATTTAACCTTTTGCAGAGTAACACCCAACTTCATGAAAGTCCAGCAGGCTGGGATGCAGTTTGTAATAAGTCCATGTTGTTGCACCGGAGTAATTTGAACTGGACCATCAGATCACTGTAACTAATCACACTAAATTTTAAGTGAGGGATTTCTAAATTGCTCGAAGTTTGTTGAGAGCAAAATTATGAGTGAAAGGTATTATATGCCATAATAAAGGAATTAAAAATATGCAGGCTCGCAGTGAATGCCAAAAAAAAAAGATGGCAGAGTGGTCTGACATAATCGAGCAGCAAAGAGCAACACGTATACCCCAGAGACGCTGTAATTCTGAGCTGGAGTGCCTTGCCGTTGTACTTTCCCCATGCCAGTCACAATTGCATCTGTAGACTGGAAATATTTGTTAAAACTACTTTTTTAAATTACTAGACAAAATCCGGGTGCTTGCAAAAACACGCAGTCAAAGGTAACTTAATAAGTGGTTGCTTTAGTAGAAAATGGCTGTGACATGAGCTTTCTGGAGGCCTCCGTTAAACTTGTCATTCACAGCTCAAAGCACGTTGCTTCAGATGCTCTTGGTTTACCTTTCATGCAATTCTTAGATGAAGAAAGGTTTCTTTACTTAGCACTTAGAGAGTAACTGTCAACTTGATAAAAGGCCAGACGTGCTGGGAATCACTGTTGTTGCACCAGATGAATATGGGCTAGGCCACCAGGTGACTGGAACTGACCACTTGGAATTTTAGGATTTTCCATTTTATTGCGGGGTGACAGCAACACCACATCCTTATTTCCGTATACTTACAGGTATTTAAAAACTGATTTACTTTCTTGAGTTGCTTTTTCTTTTCTGTTACCCTTGACTCATAACAACTGTATGTTAACTTCCTCCTGTGAAACACAGCACGACCAAACTGAAAGCCTGCCAATTAACAAAACCCACACTTGGTTTCACGTCTGTCCGCTTGAAAGGAGAACATGAAATGTTAGCTATATTTAGATTTCCCAATATCCACAGCATGAATCAGAGGATTAATGCAAAATCCCAAGCTAATTAATGCATTTGTTCCCTATCAAATTCAGCTCTCAAAAGGCCTTTTTTTCCAGGCAAGTATAAATACTGATGACGGTTTCGCTTTTCAGGTGTCTCTGCAAGTCAGGAGTAGGAACCTGATCTCTAGTTTCTGTGATGTACACAGTTATGCTTTCAGTTGGACATATAACAGCCGGCGCTTTCCTAACTGATACGTTTGCAAACACAGGGCAAGCCTATCCGGGCAAAACAAGACCGAGGTATTGAAGGGGGGGGCATTGGTGTTAAAGCCAAAGTCCAAGAAATACAGTTGTAGGTGGAAATCTGTTCTGAGGTGCTCCATCTGATCCCGTTAATCTGTACACATTTAACTTAAAGAAATAGCTCCTGCAGACAGACACGGAAATACCATGCTTAACGCGAGCGATTAAACTGTAGTTCAACACGCGTGGTGCCCCTTTTACAGGCTGGCTGCTTCCCGGCGGATGGAAATTTTCCAGACTGCGAGAAGGCAAAAAAAAAAGAAACCCGGAAGAAAGAGAAGGCATGCCTGCTGCCCCAGGGGATTAAACGTATTTAAAAAGGAATTTAAAACTCTTAACAGGTATAAGTGCACTTGCCTTGCACGCTTTCCAAGCCCCACAGATGTGGGCAGTACTGTATGTTTCTGTATGTTAAGCTCATCTTAAATAATTTTTTTTTAAATCTGTGACAATATAATCTCACCTCCTGCCTCGATAACAAACTGCACGGACAGCAGCAATTTAAAGAGGCTTCTGCTGCTACTAATTACGAATTAGTACACGACCGACTGACTGAGCTAGGGGAGGTTTATTCTACGTATACAAAAGCTGTGCAGTTACGTTAGGGCAGCACCGTGGGAGCCTCTGAGGAAAGACCGATGTAACCAGCAGAGCTCTCCTCTTTAATGCAAGTCCCCCCGTGACGGGAGAGGGGTCTCTGCTGCGGCCCCTTCCTCCCGGCCGCGGTGAAGCGCCGGGCCGAGGGACGCGCGGGCAGGTCGGAGGCTACTCCTCACTCCTCCACCGCCGCCTTCGTGCACCACCGGAGCGCGGCCTAACGGCGAGGGCGCA